AACTAAAAATGGACAGCTATTCAGCCATCCATCCAAGAAGAGTAGCAGTGTTAAGCATCATAGGCTAGATAAATTGGATGGGAAAGTACCCCACATCTGTAGAATTGCCTTGAGAGATAAGTCTTGGGGACGATTTCCTAGGTAGCACCAAAGCAGTTCGGAATTTCGCGAAAGACGTCTTTCCCACCCACCAAGAAACTGAAGTCTTGACAATCCTTTCTCTACCAAAGGCATACTTCAGCAATATTTGTGTCGCCTCATTCGAAGCTGCAGGTATATCTATAATCAGCCTAGATGGCTTCTGCACTCGGCTTAGTCATCTTACAGTCAACAAGATGAGAGAACCTTGGAAACCGCCTCTTAAATATGCGAGCACATTCTCATAGCAAGGCGTTGGGCTGGGTATAACATGCATTTGGAATAATACGATAGAAGCTGTCGACTCCTGACCGATCTAAAAGTGACTTAGACGCATACCACCTCTTATGCTGGAAGTGAATCTTCGTGGCAGAGAAATGCTCAGAGACGAGGTTATACATCCTTCAAAGTCACCGTGAGCAACACCAAATGCACTGGTGAAGAAGGATGAAAGTCCGCGACTGTGTATAGACTGCGAAAAGCAGAACGCAGTACCAAAGTGTATTGCCGCCCTACTACTCTACGTAAACGATTTGTCAGGCTCTCGATGTGTCATAGTGATTCTCCACGTTAGATTTGGACTTGAATACTGGCAATTAGAAGTGACAACAACAGACAGAGAGAAGACAGCTTGTGCATTGTTAAGCGGGCTTAATGGATTTCAGGCAGTTCTTTTTGGACTCTGCAATGCAGCGTTGACTTTCCAATGCTTTACGCGAAGGGCACAAATCGGATTATTTCTAAAGCATTGGGCAATATACTAGGATAACACTGACTTTGTAAGGAATGTTTGTGGGTAAATGTCAATCTTAAAGTTGGGGTGGGCAGCTAACGAGATGTAGATTATATTCGAAACCCCAAAACCCAACAACTGCCTTGTCGGACGGGGTGGCAATTTTGGAAGGGTAAAGAAGAGCTGGCTAGCTCCAGGTAATCAGACAGAGCTCCGTCGTTACCTGCTTGGCAGGCTCTACTGACGTTTCTTCAAGGGCTTTACCGAGATCACAAGCCTTCTGCGTACACTGGTGGAAAAGCAGACAAAAAAGAATTTGGGTTATAAGAAAGAACACGATAATGCATTTCATCCTCATTAAATTATGAATAATTGCTTTACCATTTATGCTGGTGCAGCCTTGAGCGGTGCACTTTTTATGTGAACAAAGATGGCAGAAAATACATCGTCCCCACTGAAGTTCCAAAAGTAACAAAGCAATGCTACATTAATGTGCAACCTACTCCGGATTGTTCACCATTTTCAAAACATTTTGACATTTCAGACATTGCCTTTTAGTGAGGGAGTGCATAGTGAAAATGGATCATCTCGGTCCCTGTCTCGGTTGAAAACAATAAAGGTGATATACCAGTTGGTGGCAAAATGTTAAGAGGATTTGCAACAGCACATTTTTAAGGCGCAGTGCTGCACAGAATGAGGGACACACATGACGAAGTAGATGTCTTCTCTGGCAGACTGGAACTGCCAAAAAGAGTTGATGCTGCAGTGAGAACCATATTTTTGAGCGAGCCCATTAAGCATCATTGGAGAAATTCTCAAAGTATGATGCCAACATGCCTCCTGTGTACGAGAGGTTCTTGTCATCTGCTTGCATACTCACAGTGAAAGGGATGAACTTGTCGAGCAAGGAGACCAGATGGATATGGCAGGAAGGGTCAAAACTGTCACTAGCGGGCAAGATAGTATTGTAGCAAGATCATGTTCTAGCTTTTAACCGCAGGATGCGGCCATTTTTATTAGTACAAACATGCCACCAAGAGTTACTTGGGC